AGTTAAGCCTTGACTGTTGTCGGGGGTGATTTGACCTCCAGGCTAACTGGCTATGAGAGTCAGCTGTGTCTGCAGTGGGAGAGCTTCTATGCTGGATCTCTAGGGCGGTGCTATCCGGCAAATGGCTCTGGGCAGGGCTTGGGCGGGTCGGGTCCCAGGGGATCTACAGGGTAGGTGGAGGGAGGAGTTATGGCTGCTCTCAGTTCCGTCCCTAGGGGCTTTGCCTCACCGAGTCCCAGCAACCGCGGCAAACCTCGGAGAGAAAGCTGCACTCGCTCTGACCGAAGCCAGACAGTCCCGCTTCTCCCGTTTGAGTCTGTGCCCCTAAAGACTCGCCCGGATCTGGAGCTCAGAGTCTGCGACTCCCTCCCGATTGAAAACAACAACTGCGCCCTCCGCCACCAGCCCGCTCCGCGCACTCCGCACCTCAGAATTTGACTTCAGCACTGGGCCTCCTCTGAGTGTCTGTATGTGTTACTCTTTCCTCCTAGTTGTAGGAATTCCACTCAGCCAGCGTTCCTGTGGTTCTGGGTGATGTCCGTTCAGTCTTTTAGTTTCACTTTTGAAGTGGTTGTTCGAGGCAGCAAACTCCGGCGTTAACCTATGCCTATGCCGCCATCTTGGTTCTTCTCTCTCTAGCTTTTTTTCTGATTAGTAAATGAGGAGAGAGGAACTGGAATTCAGAGGTAATTAACTTGCCTTGGTTATTGCTAGGAGATAATGTAAATATGAATAACATGCTTTTGGAACCTATACACTCTGGTATTCATATACTAGTTTTGCTAGTTTGTAGGTACTTAAGCGTGGACAAAGTCTTTTTTTTTTTAATTGATTTTAGAGAGAGGAAGGGAGGGGAATAGAGAGACAGAAAAACTGATGAGAAAGAAATATCAATTGGCTGCCTCCTGTACACCTCTCCACTGGAGATATGCCGGCAACCAGGGAATGTGCCTGACCAGGAATCGAACCGTGGGCTCATGGCTCATAGGTTGACGCTCATCCACTGAGCCACGCTGGCCAGGCAGTTCCATTATCTTTAAAAGATTAAGACATTAACCACCATATAAAGTAGTAATGAGTTGAGAAAGTAATTTTAAAAAAAATTTATTGGGGTGTCACTGGCTAACAAAATTATATAGGTTTCAGGTGCACAATTCCACAACACGTTGTCTGTACACTGTATTGTACATCACCCCCAAGTCAAGTCTCCTTCCATCACCATTTATTCCCCCTATACCAGCCGTGGGCAAACTACGGCCTGCGGGCCGGATTCGGCCCGCGGAGCCGAAAAGAGCGGAGGGTTCTCTTGCTCTCCCCTCCGTTCCTTCACCAGCAGCAGTGTTAACATGTATTAGTTCACACAAACACTCCATCCATGCTTTTGTTCCGGCCCTCCGGCCCAGTTTAAGAACCCATTGTGGCCCTCGAGTCAAAAAGTTTGCCCACCCCTGCATACCCTCCTTCACTGCCCTCTACCCTCTTCCCCCCGCAGTCACCACACTGTTGTACATGCCCAAGAGTTTTTTTTCTCTTTCCCCCCCCTTATTGCTTAATCCCTCCATACTTCCCAGTCTCCCTTCCCCGCCCCTCCCCACAACAGCTATCAGCCTGCTCTCTATGTGTTTGTCTATATTTTGCTTGTTAGTTCATTTTGTTCACCAGATTTCACATATGAGTGAAATCATACAGTGCTTGTCTTTCTCTGGCTGGTTTATTTTACTTAGCATAATGATCTCCAGGTCCATCCATGCTGTCACAAAGGTAAAGTAATGTTGAGAAAGTCTAAGGGTGGGGAAAGTAGTCCTACTAGTAGTTTTCTTTATTCCAGAGCACTAATTGGAGGCTACTTCAGTTGCCTACTGGTTAAGCTTAAAAGAGTTTAAATCTCTTAAAAACCTAATTAGACTTAATTAAATTTAATTAAATTTAGCAGTATTGGCTGGATATTTAAGTTCAGCATAGTAAAAATTGAGTTCCTAAATAATAGCAACAAATAAAAAATGTTTTCTAAAAACTACCAATAATAACAAAAAGAAACCTGGGACTATTAACAAAAGTTTTATAAGATGTTATTGAAAGACATTGAAGAAAAATTCACTAAATGGAGGTATACCAAGTTAATGAACTGAAGTAAAGGGCCAAGACCTGTCAGGGCACACACAGGAATCAACCAATGAGTGCATAAATAAGTGGAACAACAAATCTTTCTCTCTCTCATATCAATTAATAAATAAAGGACCAAGAATAACCCAAACACACAGAGCACAAACTGTTGTAAAACAGCAGATTATTAAGAATTTAAAATTTTTTGTCTATTAGAACACCAAGAAAACAGTGAGAAGGCAAACTTAAACTGTAAAAGAAATATTTACAGTGTTTGACAAAGAATTACTATCAAGTATATAAACTGTTACAAGTCAGTAAGAAAAAAATAATTCAGTTAGAAAAGGAAGTAATGGTTATCTCAGGCCATTCACACGAGGAAACCTGGATAGCTAGTACACAATGAAAATTTGTTGAACTTCACAAGTAATTAGGGAAATGCAAATTTAAACCACAATGACTTTATCAATTCACACCCATATAAGATTGGCAAAATTGAAATTTCTGATAGTACTAATTGTGCAGCAGTGGGAACATACTACAGGTGGGGAGTGTAAATTGTTAAAACCATTTGGTGAGAAGCGTGACATTACTAAAGTTGAAGATGTACGCGCCTTGTATTCATCTATTCTACTCCTAGATATATGCCCTAAAAAAGCATGTACAAGGGGTCATGTATGGGATTATCCACTGTAGCATTGTCAAAATTTGCAAACAACCTAAGCAACTATTAACATTCTGAAAAAATAAATTTTGGAAAATTCACACTTAAAATGATTGAACTAGAACTGAATTTTTCTCAA